AGGGGATCAGATGAGAGGGACGAGGAAGAGGATCAGATGAGAGGGACGAGGAAGAGGGTCAGATGAGAGGGAGGAGGAAGAGGATCAGATGATAGGGACGAGGAAGAGGATCAGATGAGAGGGACGAGGAAGAGGATCATATGAGAGGGACGAGGAAGAGGATCAGATGAGAGGGACGAGGAAGAGGATCAGATGAGAGGGGCGAAGATCAGATGAGAGGGACGAGGAAGAGGATCAGATGAAAGGGACGAGGAAGAGGATTAGATGAGAGGGACGAGGAAGAGGATCAGATGAGAGGGGCGAGGATCAGATGAGAGGGAGGAGGAAGAAGATCAGATGAGAGGGACGAGGAAGAGGATCAGATGAGAGGGACGAGGAAGAAGATCAGATGAAAGGGACGAGGAAGAGGATCAGATGAGAGGGAGAAGGAATAGGACAGATCAAGAGGTGTAGGAGGGTGAGGAGCAGGTAAAGAGATGCAGGAGGAGAAAGAGATGGAGAACAAGAGGTAGAGAAGGGATGGAGGAAGAAGAGAAGTTAAAGAGGGAGGGATTATTTTATGGTGATAAACCCTTACATACAAACATACGTTCTCTCTCTCTCTCTCTCTCTCTCTCTCTCTCTCTCTCTCTCTCTCTCTCCTCCTCTCTCTCTCTCTCTCTCTCTCTCTCTCCTCTCTCTCTCTCTCTCTCTCTCTCTCTCTCTCTCTCTCAACTCATATTTCCCAGCAGGTTAAAGGAACAGATCAAAAGGTCTGTAATCTATTCTTTTTTGTTGTATTTACTGTGTTCACAATACTGTAACTGTTATGAAATGTGTTCTTGTATTATTTACTGCATTCACAATAACCTAACTTTTGTAATGTGTTCCTCCTGATGCAGCTACGATGTAACATTAACATAAATGACATTACAAATGGTAATTAACATCGATAAATATATAAGGACACACATGTGTGTCAACCAGGACGATCATTGTGAATCTGTCCTGACCAGCAGGAGACTTATCAATCCAAAACAGAGAATGGTTACTTTATAAATTGGGTTGACAAGCTATCGACAACACGAGGATCATTAAGGCTTCATGTAACTTATTCACCACAGTCAAGAATAACTTAATCACTAAATTAGAATTTAGAGAGATACACCTGTTGGTTCATATACTGTTTACAGAAGCTAAAATAAAAAGAGTATGTGTTGTGAGTTATGTCTGGTGGTACATGGCTGGTAGACTGAGCTACGTGATGGCTATGTTCTGCTTAGGTACGATGTGTTGGTCAGGTATTTCCCAGATCGTAGAACTGTCCGTGTCTCGAACAATGGTGTTAATAGTAACAATGAGAGATTATAAACGATGTGTGCGACTCAGGTGTGATTCTTTAATGACAAGCCTAGCATTGTGCAAGTTTATGAAATGGTTGTGGGTGTTGGGGTGTATGGTGCAGACCTGGTTCACATCATCCCTAGAGCAAGCATAGTTTCCCCTTACTCATAATCTATCACTGGATTCACTATGCTGCGTGTTCCACTTGGTTGATAAGCTCTTAATAGTTTGGATGTCATGCTGGCTATGTGGGTTTAATCTTAAGCAGTAAGGATGTGGATGCTCTCAGAAACATGTTAAAATATTAAAAAAAAGTGTTTTCATATGGTCGGGTGGAAGATCTTACCAACCTGTCTTCCAGGATCATTGATGAAATGTGTCTAGTCTTGTTGTTTGGAATAGGTTCCGTGTGTATAAGTGCATTCTTCCTCTTGGAGGAAGGCGAGGCTGGAGATTCTGCAAGTTGTTAAATAAAAACTTATTGCAGCACCTCTCTTACACCTTGCGTTATGATGTAATAGGTCATCATATTCTTCGTGAGTGTTATATACATTTTAAAATCCACTTTTTGGTCATTGCTACTAAATAAAACATAAAAAAAAAGCGTAGGTAATCAGTGTGTTCCTCTTCCATGGTGAACTTGATAGAGGGTTCAACGAGTGAACATCGCTGAGAAATGCACTGGTGTCAGGACGTCTGGCAACTATTACTAAGATGTTATTCATATAACACAGCCATGTTACCTGGGAATATACAGTTTCTCCTCCTCCCGGTGACCCATATATATGCTAGTCATAACTGGACTGAGAGGTGAGCCCATGACCATACCATAACACTACCTGTACAGTCACTGAAAGATAAATGGTTTAAGTAGATAACAGCTCGATGTTGTCGACGAAATCACTAGTCAGAGCACTGAGGTCAAGGTCATCTGTAATATGGTTGACCTTAGCTCACGAAATCGTAATAGCACGATTGTAAATAAATCACGGAATGGGTGGGGTCTGCACCCATGGCGAGCGAGTCCTAAAATTAACAGGCCAGTGCGTTAACCACTAGGTACATTTCTACCATGTTGGATAAATCTTATTAGAGCCAGCTGGCCCAGTGGTTAACACACTGGCCTGAGTTTAAAGACTTATTTGCCATGAATTCAAGTCTCACCCGTTCCATGATT